CAATCACACAAAACACAGCTCAATCACACAAAACACAGCTCAATCACACAAAACACAGCACAATGACACAAAACACAGCTCAATCACACAAAACACACCTCAATCACACAAAACACACCTCAATCACACAAAACACACCTCAATCACACAAAACACACCTCAATCACACAATTAAGCAATGGTCAAGGCAATGTGCTTTGCGTGCGTAAATCTATTTATGGTGCACGGGATAGTTAGGAGATGGTATGTGAAGTCACGTCATACCACGTGGTCAGATGACTGGTTCACCCAATGCAACAAGTTTCGTTACCATAGCATTCATTGTAATGACTATAAGCGCGGGGAAGATCGGCGATGTTTGGTTTGCAAGTCACGTGGTATGTGACGCCACGTCATATCACGTGGTCAGATGACTGATAAAACTAGTATCACCCATCGTACCAAGTTTCGTTACCATAGCATTCATTGCAATGCGCATTAACAAAAATCAGCGAAAATGTTGGGTTCATAAGTCACGTGATATGTGACGTCACGCCATGTCGCGAAGTCAGATGATTGATAACACAAGTCTCACCATGCAATGATACCAAGTTTCGTTAGCATAGCTTGCTTCATTAAGGCGTTATGGCCAAGGGGACACCAGATGCGTGTCAATGGGGTCACGAGATGCGGGGCCATTAGAGGTGTGTACGATGGGGCCACCAGGGGTACGTATGTGGAAGCGAATTTCGTTAAAATAAGTGTTATTTCATTTGATGAAATGACAACATGCAAATGTTCGTAATTCAGTTTTCAATTTCAATTTATTTACGCTGTTTTTTTGTTTTTTTTCAATTTTATGAAATAGAATTACAAGAATATATATATATATATTTAGAATTTTTACTATAATTAACAATATAATAGGTGTAAGTATACGACAGCCAAAGGAGTTAAAGCTTTCTCTTGGCTGTCGTAATTTTCATTTAGTAAGTCAAAACTACTGGCAAAAATCTGCGATGTTTGGTTGTTAACGTGATATGTGACGTCACGTCATGTCACGTGGTCAGATGACTGACAACACAAGTCTCACCAATGCTATCAAGTTACGTTACCATAGCATGTGGGGACAGGAGATGCGGACCACCAGATGTAAGTGGCACGTGCTAGCCTTATGCAACTGAAACGACCTGAAACCTAGTCTCCCCCACAGCCGCTCTCAGTGTCGTCAYGCAACGCTTTCTCCCCTGACACTGAAAGCGCCTGTGGGGGAGACTACCTGAAACCAGGCAAAAAATCGAATCTTCATCGAGTTCGTCGTCCAGTTTGTGTATTTTATTGGCTTTTATCGATCGATCGAGTGTTTGTTTTCGGCTTCCAACGCAAATCCAGGGGCGGATCCAGGATTTTT